TATGCTAGCATAGTTTTGGAAACGTAGGTTTCTTTACCTCCTTTTTGGTGTATAGAAAGGAAAAGGATATTCATGAAACATGAATATGACTTGTAGTTGCTAGACATTTATAATTTTGTTAGAATTGTAAGTCGAAGAGTGAGGGAGTGTACGTGTGGTTGTGTGTTTTTGGGTGAAAACAAATATTCTCGATTTTATTTCTTGACTTAGGGAAAGTGCATGACATGTTTAAAGGTCTATTATGTTTCCTTTATGAGGGAAGTCACGGAGTACAAATTGTAAATATGTGACAGAGAGGTCGACACCTTATGTAACTATTTTACAATTTCTGAAGGATTGAGGAATTAATTTACAAAATATTTTTTATCGAACAGATTTCGTATTTAAAGAGAAATACGTTGGGTATGACTAGTATAGTCAGGAAAGTGGAAAATGTCATTTTATGAAATATTGTATTTGGACTTATTGAGGGGTCATAATTCATCTTCGATAAAAAGGTCTGAGCGGGTACTTCAATATTTTATATTTATATACGCTACACAACTATGTCGTAAGGGTATTATAGCTTTGTGTAGCCCCAAGAGATTGTAATATTGGTCCTAGACCCACCTTTTTGTATACCGATTGTCATATCTAGACTAGCTGATTCCATCTAGACATGTGTTCCGTCCGTCTGTCCATTATAATTTGTAAACACGATATAGGCCACAGTTATGGGTCATGTAGGATCTGTTCGGCCAAAAGAATACCCCTTTTGTTGTTGATCGGCTAATATTTAGGGTATGAAATGGACCGAAAAAGGGACTTTTTTAAAAAACATATCCTACTCCTATATCGAGCCTCTGTGCTCCTTTTTCTTTTTCATTTTCATGAACTAAGTACCACGAAATTTATACTGAATCGATAAAATATATATTCGTATTATTTGAGGGTCAAAACATTGCTGTTTGAACAGTGGGATCGTTTGTAGTTCGAAGGGAGTAGATCCATCGGCCCTTTTATTGTGATATTTGGAATTTGGTATCAAAACGGTTACTCCCTTCGAAAACTATGGTACCAAGCAGTCAGCCAGTCGTACTGGTATCTAAATATTGTCTAATACTGGTAAAAAAACTTATAGGTATAAAACCGATATTACTGTGAGATAAATTGTATATAGAATATGTGGTACAGCATATATATGTGTCTGACATACAAATTTTTATGAAGTAAAGACGTGGACCCAACCGAACTTTTGATACGTCAAAAGTTAACATATACTGAAAATTGCCTAAAAATGTCAGTTTCCACGAACTCGGAATACCAAAGTAGGACGAGTTATTTGAAAGATGCGGTTAAAACCTACAAAATATTGAAAAAGGGCGTGACCTTTTTTGTGGTCTATATCACAAAAATTTCTACTTATAAATAGGTCAGTTTCCAAAAATTCGAAGAACAAAAAAATAATCCCGTTGGTGAGCAATTGCAGATATCAAAATGCCGAATATTTGATGGTTCCTTTATATGAGAGCTATGTCAAAACACAACCCAATTAACATAATTTTCTGCACAGATATATTCCAACCTTCAAATCCCCGAAATGCCAAATTTAGAGGCTTAACGGCTCAACCCCATTAAAATACCAAACATTATTCGGTATATTTAAATATTTTCTTTTCAAAATTAGGCGGGGCCTTTATATGGCTTCCTTCAAAATCCAGAAATGTAAAGTCAGAACCTTTTCGTTTGAAAACTTCGGTTAAACCCCTCAAAATATTGAAAATTAGGCGAGACCTTTATTTGGGGCTATGTCATAACAGGACTTATCATGATCATTTTCTGCGCAGATGTATGTCAACCTCTAAACCCCCGTGTTGCCAAATTAGAGCCTTTTCGTTTGGTGGGACCTTAATATGAGGGCTATACGAAAATGCGGACTTTTATTAATAGTTTCACACATAGAAGTATGTCAGCCTCCCAAAACCCCAAAACCCGGCATTACAGCTCATTTCGAAATATAGAACAAGTAAAAACCTCTTTTAGTTCAGCCGGGACGATTTTTCTATACGCACCATCATGAGGTGGACATAACTTTAATTGTTTGATACTTTTACATAAATCGTAGTAGGAAAATTGGGTCTCAACCAATGACAACGAAATCACGAATAATAACCGGTACTGACCAGAAAGTAAAAAGTAGAGCAGGATAATTTGCTACTTAATTTAAGAGGCATCACAAGATTTGGACTACCTTAAAAAGTGGACTTTACTTTCTTAGCTGGCTCGGGACAGACCATTTGTTCCATAAGCCAAACTTGTGCGCACGTTTTCCAGTTTGAAAGACACTGCTTTGATGCCATCCTGCACTTGATCTTTCCATCGAATACGTGGCCTTCCCGTTCCTCGTGAACCATCAGTAGAATACCATTTATATTCCTCATCCATTGGCAGTACATGGCCTAGCCAGCATAGTCGCTGTAGCTCCATACGTCTGACTATGTCGATTGCAGTTTATATATAGCATAGCTTCTAGTTCATTCGCTATATTCACCGTCGACGCTGATATTCACTGTCAACGTGAACCAGACCCAGATCGGCTCGTGGGTCTTTCAGAGACTTTTTTCTCAAATACTCCAAGAACTGTCTCATCTCTTTGCGCAAGTACCCATGCATCAGATCCATACAACAGCACGGGTAGTATCAACGCCCCATAGCGTGTGACTTTGGTCTGGCGAGAGGTGGCCTTGTTTCTAATTGCTTACCTTGACCATACTAGAATGTGTTGGTCTACGCTATCCTTCTCTGAATCTCAATATAAGATGTTATTTGTGATTTTCTCCTTTTCCAGCAGGATGATAAAAAGATCACACGAGGGGCTGTCACCTTGTCTGAACCCTTATTCGGTATTGAAGGGCTCTGAAAGGTCCTTGTCGACTTTTCCTGATCCTGATAACTAACTGAGCCGTATTCATTTTGCAGGAATGCCAAACGTACCTCTGAGCGGTTTGGTCTGTCGAATACGCCTTTATAGGAGGAATGCGCCTTTATAGGAGGAATGTGTGAATATATTTTTTGTGTGTCTTATCCATGATTTGGCGCAGTGTGGAAAACTGGTAAATGGTGAATTTGCCAGGCCTAAAGCCGCATTAGTATGGTCCAATAATGTCAGGACGATGGATAGCACTTTATATATGATGGGAAGGAGACTATATAGTTGGAACATATAGTCTTGTCTCCTTTTTTGGCACGGGACACAAGATGCTGAGGTTCCAATCATTGGGCATGCATTCCTCTAGCCAAATTGTACTTATCAGCTTACGCATACTCATTATTACCATTTGAACATCGGTTTTGAATAGTTCGGCTGGTAACTCATTGGCATCTGCTGGTTTATTATTCTTCATCCGATTAGTTGATATTCTGACCTCATCTTGGCTAGGTGTTATACACTTGTTACCGTCATCTCTTAACGGTTCTTGGGTATTTTCTTCGCCGCGACTAGTTGATACCAGAAGCTTTGCAAATGATCCTTCCAAATCCTGTATCTGTCACCAGGTTTCCCTCTTCATCTCTACAGGATAGGAAAATTTTCACACTTCTTTCTGACTGTAACATCTCAATTATCTCACGCTCTTATTTTTTCCTTTTCTTTCATCTTTTTTTTAAGATACGTTTGTCCTCTCTCCTTTTCTCCCAATAATTATCTCTGGACCTACGTGTTGGACTTGTCTGCAGGATGTGGTCTTATTATTATTCGAACACGGCCCTTACAGCAGTTAGTTCCGATATGATGACGGATATAACCACATTATGATGGAGGGTGTAAAACAATAATTAATATAGGCTTGTTTTAAAATCTATCGCGTGATATGCATTCAAATTCCCTTATTTTTAATCGCATGCTAGTAGATATCTAATGCTCTGCGACAATTAAATGCATTAAAGACACACTGAAAGCCTTGGCTAGGGACTTCAACATGCCGAAAATATAGCGTCACGACTTGAGTTCAATTGAGTTTACTCATAATAGCATAGCCCAAAAATCGATTTAGCAGAGCAAATATTTTAAAATTTTCGTGGAAAATTCTTATATTATTTCCCTCTGACCTTTAAACCTTCCAACTCAACTTAATTGTGAAAACGAAATCACAGCCTTTGCTTTAATAAAATATAATATTTCTAGTTTCGGATTTCCCTTGAAATTCTAATTAGCTATTGTTAATATTACAAAATCGCATTTCAATAATTTCTGCACTTACAAAGAAATGCAGTTGCAAATTGAATGGGCTCAACGTTCTTGAGAAAATGCCGAATGCCAACAATGGAATACTTTCCCTAACCCACTTTCCATTTCCATTCTACATTAAATTGCACCCAATTTAGTGATTTCTCATTTGCTCCCACTCTTCGTTGTACAAAATTGAGGTCATCATTAATATATATAAAAATCTATGGCGATGTTTAAATGACCGGAAATATAAAGTCTTGTTAATGTCATAATATTTGACACCTGTTTACGGCTGACACTCGACATTCAACAAAAGTTACGGAAAACGACGATAACATGCAACATGCAGTTGGAGGTTTGATGGTGAAGACAAAAACGACGCGCGCACACACACACCTACATACGAACTCCTATTAAATTATGTTGTGTACAAAAACAACAACAATAATAACAATGCTAGTACAACAAAGTGAACAACAACAACACCATCAATGTTGACCTAGATTATTAAATTTTTAACAATCATCACACCAACCATGTCGATGTCAATCTCAACGATGTCGACGTGAGTGGTTTTGGAAAAGTCACTGAAATAAGCAATGTTATGTGTATGTATATGTGTGTGTGTTCGTTGGTGGCTGCGTGAGTGTGCCATTGTGGTTGTAGGTGGCAAAGTATGCCGGATGACTGTTAATAGCCAAGTATTTTGTAGTCACAAACCAACCAACCGACAAACAAACAAAAAAATCAAAATCCTGCCACATATTTTAGCCAGCATCAACAGCCTACTCACCTCGAAAAACCACTTTGTTGAATGTGCTCGTTATGATGCGCAATTCTGGATTTGGCGTTTCACCAATTTGTACCATTAGCGAAAGGCCGACAATGCCTTGGGATTTGTGCTGTGCTTCGGACATATTATGATACAATTCCTTGTTAAAGCCATAAATTTGTATCTACAAAAAAGAGAAAGAGAGTAAAAAATCAGCAATTTGCACATGAATACTCACTCAACTCACAAACAAACAAACGAAAAAAAATGCATCAATGAAAACATTTTCAATAAATTAATTTCACATAAATGACAAGAGGAAACCTTTGTGGCATTACTTACCTCCCCTGGAAAACTATAACCTTGTACATAGTGCTCCGAACCACGTGTATCCTGGGTACCGTAATGTATATATATTTCTTCGAATTGATATTTATATGCCAATGGACCACCGGAGATATTCACATGCTGCTTCGTATCTTTGTCCACGCGAAATACTAACGATTGTCCGGTATTGTGTAGTGTACCAGAAACCTGAAAATGGTGAATTGATGTTTATGATTATAAAAATAATATGTTTATAATAATAATTTAAATATTCAGTAAATTCTTTGTGTAATTGAAAATAGATTTTCGAAATAATTAACCCTTTGAGCCCCGAATTTTTTTCCGTGACTATAAAACTATTTTCTGTGCACAGATTTAATGCATCTATCCTAAATAGGATATGCACAAAAGTTGATGTCGCTACATCCTTGCATTCGGGAGACACAGTACCTTCTTTCTGAAAAATAAAAGTCCAATATCAAGTAAAGCAAATGCAATATCGACGAAAAAATCACTTTTAATTATTCTATAGGTTCTTTTTTACAAGGCTCAACAACAATTTGGAGGACACAATCCGTACATTTCAAATACGAAGCAATCTGAATAATTTGTACTGTATACGCTAATTGGTACTGCACACATTTTGCACTCATCTATATATTGAAATGCTTATAACTTTTCCAAAAATTTAATTTTTTTATATGTTTCTTTTGATAGGTGTCGTCCATAATCAGCTCTTAACATATGTAATCCAAATAATATACATATACTAGCAGCGTATTAAATATAAGCTCTAAAACACTTTGTTGCCTGTGGGCAACATTGGGCCTCAAAGGGTTAAGGCATTGCATTTTTATACCCTACACAACTATGTTGTCAGGGTATTATAGCTTTGTGCAGCCCCAAAAGTTTGTAACGCCGCGAAATATTGGTCCTAGACCCACCTTTAAGTATGCCAATCATCGTATCTCGACTAGCTGAGTCGATCTAGACATGTGTGTCCGTCTGTCCATTATAATTTGTAAACACGATACAGGCTACAGTTATGGACCAATCTTCACGAAATTTTGCATGTAGGATGAGTTCGGGCCAATGAAGACCCCTATTGTTTGTGGTAAATATCGGTTAATATTTAGGGGATGAAATGGACCAAATACTAAATATTTGTCCGTTTTTCTGGTCGCTCCAGAAGCCGCAATTATGGCCCAAACATTGCGAATTTTTACAGGGAGAAGGGGATAGGGCCAAAGAATAAGCATGCCTGTTTTGATAAAGTTCGATTAATATTTAGCGGGGCAAATGGACCCTGCCTTTTGTGTTAAAAATTACAAAATTTGTATTCTATACCGTATATATTTACTCCTGAAGGACATAGACCCAAAATGTTGATAGTATATCGCAGAGGAGTGGTTGACCTTTAAATCGATACCAATTATATTGTCGTATGTACCCGGATGTGGGAGTTACACATAAATATTTACAGGTGCTTACGTATTCAGACATTATTTAGTAACCCATTACCACACTGGATGGCGGAAATGTAGCGCTGTTCGTTTTGAAATGTTTCATGAGGTCCCAGTTATGGTCAAGGACAACGCTTATAATTTGATGATGATCAGATAATAGTTTTGGGATAAATTGGACCGAAAACTTAATATTTTGTGTAATTTGGAGTTGATCTATAGGCCACAATTGATAGCCGAACTTTACAAAACAAAAGGGGGAAGGGAATCTGGACAAGTAATTAGAAAGGCTGTGCTAAATATTAGTAATATTTGTTTACCTCTAGTCCGTCAAGAGGGTACAAATATCGCGGAATATTGCTCAAGCTCAGAACACAAACTCACGGAAAGTTAGACTTTCGTGGAAGTTGTGTAGGGTATCATATGGTCGTCCGCCCGTCCGACTATACTGCTCCACTCACTGGTTTTCTTAGTACATTTATATTCCACATCATCTTACCTTATGTTTGTCTATATGCAGTGGTCGCAGGAACGGATCGAACAATAATTTATCTGGTACAATATCGATGGGCGACTGTCGTCTACCTTTGTTGCACATATTCCATTGTGGATTTATAAGGCCCCAAAAACTTGGTCCTGAAAGTAGTAAATTATATTTTATTAAACATTTTAATTGTAATATATAGTGTATTATTATATTAAGGAAACTTAAATATATAAATAAGATGTTAATAAAACTGTGACACACAAATCGTCTGAGGGTGCAATACTCATTATTGGGATGAAAGCCCTTGGCGAGTATATTATGAATCCAGAAGGACAAATTCACCTATGTGCATGAACGAAAGTCCTTTATATGTTTGTTTGCAGATATTGCAGATTAATTTGGGGATGACAGGCCTTCAGTAAATCAAATCCACATCCTCAAGACTTGTGGATTGTTTTCATTCTAGTTCCTTGAACCGCAAAGACAACATTTTTTGACCTCCAAATATTCCACAAACATGTCGCTTATAAAAATTTAGGTCGCCAAAGACGATAATCGATATTGGTATGTTTACCCTTCACCCCACTGTGGTACAGGTTATTATGGATTTGTGCATTTGTTTGTAACAGGCAACAGTTAATCGAGATAGACCCATGGTTCCTTTTGAGAATATGCATAGACTCACTTTTTGAGTCGATTTATGCATGTCCGTCCGTTCGTCTGTCCGTAAATTGTAAACATACATAAATATGTTCGTCCGATTTAATGTAAATGGTGCACCAAAGTCCCTATATATCTTTCGATTTGCACGAAATTTGACATAGAGTACTGAGTTAAGTCTAGAATGATGGGTGTTAAGTTTCGTCCAAAGTCCATGTAAATCTTTAGATTTGCACGAATTTGGGCGTAGCGTATTGTATCAAGTCTACAATGAAGTGTGCTAAGTGAAAATCGGTTCAGATTTATATAAAGCTCCCATATGTATTTCCGTCCGATTTAATGTAAATGGCGCACCAAAGTCCCTATTTGCACGAAATTTGAGTGCGATGGTGCTGAGTCCTGTTGGAATGTCCAAGGTCTGCGGCCAAAATGTTTGCGTGTCCAAGACTTTAATGCACCCTCCAAAATATTTTCGCGAGAATATTCGGCCACGGTCGATTATACGAGCGTAGTGTTACCATCGGCTGTTATGGCGGCCCACACCATCACCATGGCCGGCGCTTGAGTTCTGATGGCCAACCGAAGGTGCACATTTTCAGCTGATCTCTTTGGCAAGTAAACACGATCATTTTGTTTGTTTACAAACTGTCGAATATTGTTGCGAAATTGCATCTCCGAATAAAATTCAACCGTGTCAAGGTTCGGACATTTGACATCACACCAGAACAACCCTTTTCAGAGCAGATTTTTCTTGTAGGCACGGTTTTTTTTCATACAACCTACAATAGCTTTTCTTCTATGGTATACAACTGCAAATTGTGCAACCTTAGGAAGATATGGTGGTGTCTTTGGACGCTGAGACGCCGGAAAACCAGGTTTCTAATCCCAGCCGGACTAAAGCTGAATTTTTGAGTTTTATGCCGTTTTAGGGCGATGAATGTGTTTTATTTCTCTTTCGAGATGAGCTACATGATCGAAGGTGCAATTGAAAGCTTGTGTGCTTAAGAATTAAGTGGATCCGGTCTAAGGGCAATTAAACCTTTTATAGCCCGATGATGTAAACAAATGGTATAACAATCTAGTTGCCTATTTAGCAGATTAGAATTGTTGTATACCCTCCATATAGCATTCAAAATACCTGAACTCGTACAATGATAAATTGCCGCTAGAAGAAAATTAAATACCCAACGACAGACACTTAGGTTGAAACATGCTGAAAACGACGAGCGTCCGCTGTATGGAGGCTGTGTCGTTATATTAAAATATAACAGCTTCATTTGGAAAATGGTCATAAAAATATCTATATATGAAGTTCCAACTACTTTTATACCAGGGCTGTCCACATTAATACATGCAAATGTTTGTTTTTGTATTTGTTTCAAATACACAAGTTTAAACTTTATGTTTTTTTCTTATTATACTGTGAGAAAAATTGTAAAAACTTGTATTTCAAATTTTAAGACAGAAGAACATTTTGTATTCAATGCAATAAATATGGTAAAAACTTCAGTAAAAACTTGTCTGAAATCCTACAAATTATTAAAATGAGTGGGTACCAGTTTATAGATAAAAATCCAGTGAGCGGAGCAGTATAGTCGGACGGGGCCGACCATATGATACCCTACACAACTACCACGAAAAGTACACTTTCGGCTGTTCTATATTCAGAGCCTGGGCAATATTTCGTGATATTTGCACCCTTTTTACCGATTATAGATCAACAGCTCCTTTTTCTAAGTCTTGCATATTTTCCAAAATGTTTTTTCTTGAAGTGAATTTTTACGCCATAAAATAAAAAATTGGTCACTTTAGGTTTTGGTTGATTTGACCCTCGGAAAATTGACCGATCATCATCTAAACAGCCGCTCTAAGTATTTGGTCAATTGTAAAATATGTGATGTTCTGCATATAATATTTGCCTCCAGAGCGACTAGAAAATCTGACAAAATTAAAGTTTTCGGTTCATTGCACCCCCTGAATGAAATCTCAAGTTCACCGAAAACTATAAGCGTCGTCCTTGACCATAATCGGAACTTCATGTACAATTTCAAAGCGATCAGCGCGACATTTCCGTCCTCTAATGGAGTAATAGTAATAATATGCACATAGTCACCTTTACTTAATTACGTATAACTCCCGCATCGGAGTACATACAGCCATATAATTGGTATCAATTTGAAGGCCAACAACTCCTCTTGGATATACTATCAACTTCTCGGGCATATGTCAAATTTAGTATTTGGTCCATTTCATCCCCTAAATATTTTCCGATCTTTCCCAAAAACAATAGGGGTCTTCACTGGCCAGAACCCATCCTACATGCAAAATTTCGTGAAGATTGGTCCATAACTGTTTACAAGTTATAATGGACAGACGGACGGACGGGACACACCTGTATCGTGTTTACAAATTAGGACCAATATTTCGCGGCGTTACTAACTTTTGGGGCTGCAAAATACGTGAAAAAATATCGATGGAATTCTCAAAATATATTATAGAGGGGCTACAGTTATATGGAGCTATAATAAAACGGAGATCAATACTGTTATTTTTTGCTAGTGTGATTTGACAACCGATGAGAATACAAACAGCCAAATTACAGTCTCGGTAGAAAAAGCTAGTCTATATTATGATTTTTCAAAACTCAAAATATCAAATCACAGCCAATTTATTGAGAATCGAGTCAAAATCCCCACATTAGAGGGCACCATATTATGAGGACTACCCTTAAAGTTAGGTAAAAAATAAAAACCAAATTACAGCCAGTTCGGTTGGAAACCCAAATTAATTCACCAAAATGCCGAGTATTGGGGAGAACCTTATATGGTGTCTATACTGAATCTTGGATCAAAATTCATAATTTTTAGTACGGATATGAGTTATTGACTTAGAAGGCAAATTACCAAAATACAGTTAATTCGGTTGGAAAATCTGTCTAAAATTGCCAAAATACCGAGCATGTGTAACTCAAAATCAACATTTTAAATTTTTCAGGAAATGTACATATTAACCTTATTTAATACTAGCAAATAAAGGTGCTTTATTAATAAATGAAAGCTAAATAAAAAACGTGTATACACGTTCATTGCAAATATTAACCAAAGGATATTAATAAATGTTGCCAATACCATCAACACACAATGTGGTTACACATGTTTCCTTTGTTTTTTGAGTTCAATATTTGCATATCTTACAAAAGGGATATGCAAAAAGAGAGTGCAATTTTTTATTGTGGGGAGAGTATAACTGAAACAGATATGTGGTGAATTTAGATATGAACATTTTATTATGCGGAATTGCGGACCAATTTTCTTAGCCTGAGGTATTCCCAAGACATATATTCCATCACTCAGTGACAGATTTTCTTGTGTGAATTCATTGGAAGGGTGTGGAAACTTTTCCAATTGCTTACGACTTCAACAGATGCATCATAAGATTCGTCATATTTTTAAAGTACCATTGACATGAAACTGAACGAACTAAAATATGTGATCTTTAGTATGTAACCCGAATTAAATCGATTCATACAAATGCCATTCTGCAATCTATGATAAATTTAATTTCATTTGGGCGGATTTGGAGTCCCATGTTTGTTAATCGGAAAAATATGTGAGAGGTGTATTTTATTCTGAACAGATTTCAATAAAACTTGAGACACGTTAGGCTATACTAACTTCAGTTCATTGTACAGAATTGTGTATCAAAATGCCAAACCTAGACTCTTTGGTGCATCATTAACCTGAAAGCGGACGAAAAAAATATATAAGATCTATATCCAAATATGAACCGTTTGCATGTTACAAGTATATGAACAAAAACATAATACCTGCACCGCAGTGTAATGAAAGGTATAACCAGTAAAAAAAAGTAGTAAAGTCGGACTGGACCGACTATATGATACCCTTCACCACTTTGAGTATATTCTACATATGTATCCTAACATACGTCACGTGTTTGTTATATATCTATATCTGAACCGATTTCAGAGAAACTTGCCAGATACTAATTTATATTACTTCAGTACGCTGTGTCAATCGGCCTAGCTATGGATCTTTTCACGAAAATTAACAACATCATTCTAGACTTAATTCAGTACCCTATACCAAAATTCGGGCAAATCGAAAGATATGTAGTGACATTGGTACACAATTTACCTTTAATCGGACGAAAATATATATGGGAGCTATATCTAAATCTGAACCGATTTTCACGGAACTTTGCACACATCATTCTAGACTTAATACTGTACGCTATGCCAAAATACGTGCAAATGAAAATATTTCCAGGGACTTTGGTGCACCATTTACCTAAAATCGGACGAAAATATATGGGAGCTTTATCTAAATCTGAACCGATTTTCATGAAACTTAGCACACATTATTATAGACGCATTTCAGTACAATATGCCAAATTTCGTGCAATTCGAAAGATATATAGGGTCCAATTACCTATAATCGGTTGAAAATATATATGAGAGCTATATCTACATCTGAAACGATTTTCACGAAACTTTGTACACATCATTCTAGACCTAATTCGGTATGCCATGCCAAATTTTGTGCAAATCGAAAGATATATAGGGACTTTGGTACACAATTTACCTTAAATCGGACGTAAATATATATGGGACTATATAAATCTACAAATTTTTAAATTTAACACACACCATCCTAGACCTTATTCATTACGCTATGCCAAATTCGTGCAAATCGAAAGAATCGAACTTTAGTGGACTATTTACCTAAAATCGGGGGAATCTATATATGGGAGCTATATCTAAATTTGAACCGATTTTCACGAAACTTTTCACACATCATTCTAGACCTAATTCAGTACGCTGTGCCAAATTTTGTGCAAATCAAAAGATATATAGGGACTTTGGTACACAATTTACCTTAAATCGGACGGAGATATATATGGGAGCTATATCTAAATCTGAACCAATTTTCACGAAACTTTGCATACATCATTCTAGACCTAATTCATAACGCTGTGCTAAATTTCGTGCAAATCAAAAGATATATAGGGACTTTGGTACACAATTTACCTTAAATCGGACGGAGATATATATGGGAGCTATATCTAAATCTGAACCAATTTTAACGAAACTTTGTACACATCATTCTAGACCTAATTCGGTATGCCATGCCAAATTTTGTGCAAATCGAAAGATATATAGGGACTTTGGTACACAATTTACCTAAAATCGGACGAAAATATATGGGAGCTTTATCTAAATCTGAACCGATTTTCATGAAACTTAGCACACATTATTATAGACGCATTTCAGTACACTATGCTAAATTTCGTGCAATTCGAAAGATATATAGGGTCCAATTACCTATAATCGGTTGAAAATATATATGAGAGCTATATCTAAATCTGAAACGATTTTCACGAAACTTTGTACACATCATTCTAGACCTAATTCGGTATGCCATGCCAAATTTTGTGCAAATCGAAAGATATATAGGGACTTTGGTACACAATTTACCTTAAATCGGACGGAGATATATATGGGAGCTATATCTAAATCTGAACCAATTTTCACGAAACTTTGCATACATCATTCTAGACCTAATTCATATCGCTGTGCTAAATTTCGTGCAAATCGAAAGAATCGAACTTTAGTGGACTATTTACCTAAAATCGGGGGAATCTATATATGGGAGCTTTATCTAAATTTGAACCGATTTTCACGAAACTTTTCACACATCATTCTAGACCTAATTCAGTACGCTGTGCCAAATTTTGTGCAAATCAAAAGATATATAGGGACTTTGGTACACCATTTACCTTAAATCGGACGAAAATATATATGGGAGCTATATCTAAATCTGACCCGTTTTTTCCCAATTTCAATAGGGTTCGTCCTTGGGCCAAACAAATGAGCTGTGCCAAATTTCATCCAATTCCAAATTCGGATCATAAATTCGATCTGTACATTGTTTACAAATTAACATGGACAGACGGACGGCAAAAGCATGCATATCGATAGAAAGTGATTCTATGGTACAAAAGGAACCATTCTATCTCGATTATTTTTGCCTGTTATCCGGCATACATATGCACAAAGATATATATATATATATATATATAGGGGTGTAAAAATTCACCCTCTCTCTAATAACCCTTTTATTTTCTGTATTGATTCATGTTATATATGTATTGTTGTAGCAACCAATATTATTGTTACCAACATATAAATATATTTTTTTCTTCTCCACAATACAATCTTTTACATATTTTTCCTCTTTCCCATTCTGGTTGTAGTCTCAATGTTCGAAAATGTTGAAAATAATCGAAAATGACAGTCTATCTGATGGTGAATGGGGAAAAAGCCACATTGTCTCTGTTCGTTTTGTACTGCAGTTCTGTCTCGTAGTGCGTCTGGCTAACCATCTTTACTTTCGGATTCTGTGATTCTGTGTGACCATGTTCAATTGTATTGCAAAATGTATTTCCATTTTAAATATTAACATGTTGTTGCTATCGTTGTTGCTGCTGTTGTATACACAGTGTCCATTGTGTTAAGAGTTACCTTAACAAATTTGATTATTTATTTTTTTGTACCTTTTGTTACATTTCCGAACAAAAAACCTGACTGCGAATGGATACGAATAAAAAAATAACAAAAACATCAACATTGGTATTGACACAAAAATCGTTGTCTGACTGTATCTATTAAGTTGCAATGTTCGTGTCAAACCAAATGATGGCATTGTGTGACATTTTGGTTTGAACATCAGCGGACAGTTTCATGGAATTTTCATTGATATTTTATTGTTTAATGTTTTTGTGTGTATGTGTTTTACTTTTGAGGTTGACTTTAAAAAGAGAGAGAGAGGAGAGTGGAGGAAAGGACTGATATGAATAACTAAAGGAATTATATTCTGCTATAATAATGGGACTTTAATTGGTGTAAAATTGAGCAACTAAAATTTTTTTAATAGTCTAATTAAAATTTCTTCTTCTTTTTAAAAAAATCCACGCTTTTGGTTAATCCTTGAAATTTTTTCTATAAAAAAATCCACGCCTTTGGTTATTCCTTGAAATTTTTTCTATAAAAAAATCCACGCCTTTGGTTAATCCTTGAAATTTTTTCTATAAAAAAATCCACGCCTTTGGTTAATCCTTGAAAATGTTTCTATCAAAAAATCCACGCCCTTGGTTAATCCTTGAAATTTTTTCTATAAAAAAACACGCCTTTGGTTAATCCTTGAAATTTTTTCTATAAAAATATCCACGCCTTTGGTTAATCCTTGAAATTTTTCTATAAAAATAACCACGCCTTTGGTTAATCCTTGAAATTTTTTCTATCAAAAAATCCACGCCTTTGGTTAATCCTTGAATTTTTTTTTAAATCCATGCCTTTGTTTAATCTTTGAAAATTTTTCTTTAAAAAATCCACGACTTTGGATAGTCCATGAAAATTTTTCTTTAAAAAATCTACGCCTTTGGTTAATCCTTGAATTTGTTTCTATAAAAAAATCCACGCCTTTGGTTAATCCTTGAAATTTTTTCTATAAAAAAATCCACGCCTTTGGTTAATCCTTGAAATTTTTTCTATAAAAAAATCCACGCCTTTGGTTAATCCTTTAAAATTTTTCTATAAAAAAATCGACGCCTTTGGTTAATCCTTGAAATTTTTTCTATAAAAAAATCCACGCCTTTAAAATTTTTCTATAAAAAAATCCACGCCTTTAAAATTTTTCTATAAAAAAATCCACGCCTTTAAAATTTTTCTATAAAAAAATCCACGCCTTTGGTTAATCCTTGAAATTTTTTCTATAAAAAAATCCACGCCTTTAAAATTTTTCTATAAAAAAATCCACGCCTTTAAAATTTTTCTATAAAAAAATCCACGCCTTAAAAAGGTTTTTATAAAAAAATCCACGCCTTGAAAAAATTTCTATAAAAAATCCACGCCTTTGGTTAATCCTTGAAATTTTTTCTATAAAAAAATTCACGCCTTTGGTTAATCCTTGATTTTTTTTTAAATCCACGTCTTTGGTAAATCCTTGAATATTTTATTTTAAATCAATGCCTTGTGTTTGTTCTTGAAATGTTTTCTTTAAAAAATCCACGCCTTTCGATAGTTCTTGAAATGTTTTCTTTAAAAAATCCATGCCCTTGGATTGTCCTTGAAAAGTTTTCTTTAAAAAATCCACGCCTTTGGATAGTTCTTGAAATGTTTTCTTTAAAAAATCCATGCCCTTGGATTGTCCTTGAAAAATATTATTTTCTAAAAATCCACGCCTTGTTTTGGTCCTTGAAAAATTCCACGCCTTTTGTTGGTCCTTGAAAAAATATTCTTTAAAAAATCCACGCCTTGTTGGATGGTCCTTGAAAAAATATTCTTTATAAAAATCCACGCCTTGTGTTGGTCCTTGAAAAAAATATTCTTTATAAAAATCCACCCCTTGTATTGGTCCCTAACAAATTTTCTTTAAAATTCCAAGCCTTATTGGATGACGATTGAAAAAATATCCTTTAAAAAATCTACGCCTTGTTGGATGGTCCTTGAAAAAATAATATTTAAAAATTCCACGCCTTGTGTTGGTCCTTGAAAAAATGTTCTGTAAAAATGTACGTCTTCAATAGTCCTTTAAAAAAGATTCAACGGTATCTGATACACATCATTTGCAATGAAAAACTTTAATCGAATTTAATTAATAAAAAACTTCATTCCCTCAATTCCGCTTCTTTTTGTCTATTTCCCCATTTAAATTAAATTACAGTTATATCACCAAATGAAATTAATTCATCTATTATTAAAAGCCCTTTGGGTTATACACTATTTATATCTGCATATTCTAGTTTTAATTCATTTTTATTATCCATTATTCGTCCCTGATGTCAAATTCACGAATTCGAATGTATGTGCCTGTAAATGATTTAATTGCTAAAAATATTTAAAAAATTAAAAAAAAAACCAAAACAAAAAACTAGAATTACGATGGCATTTCACTACTCCACTGCCATTGAATTTCATTTGTTAATAATTGCACGAATGTTTTTACCAGACAGCAAACTAAAAATAATAGTTTTTCCCGACTATTTTTGTTTTTCGAACAAAGCCTTTGAATTTCAATATACATGTGTGTCTGTCTGTGTGTGTGTGTTTATTTGTTTGTCTATGCGCATAGTGTGAATCGAGTTCATTTCATTTGGCCATAAGTTCACTTACCGGATATACCATCATATGTCCACCATTCCTCCCAACTGGCTTTGATTCCTGCAAAATACAAAACAAACACACAGAGAATGAGAGAATGCATAACACAAAAAAAGAAGAACATGAAGAGAACATAAATTATTCCAATATTTGTTTGTTTTGTTGTTGGATTTTGTGTTTGTGTATGGTGGGAAAATAGGATTTTACTGGATAAATAAATGTTTTCCTAGTTTTTGGCCAAATCAATATTCCGACTCCATAAAGTCTTCTTAAAGTGCAATGCGACTGTGTGTGTTGGACATTCTGGCGCCAGAGTAAATTAATAACACAAATGGAAGCTTCCATGTACTGTATTTTAGTTGAAAATTTATTAAATTGAAGTTGACATTAGATAAATAAGAAATGAAATGTGGGAAATGAGAATTAAATCAATGACCTTTTGTACTGGGATGAGAGATTTTGTTAGAAGTTATACTACGTTTTAAGCAAATTGTGTTTAATTTCCGACATTAAACGAGAAGGACCTTCTATATGTTTGGAGGGAAAAATGTCAGAGTAGGATTGTAATTTAAATGTCAATAGAGAATTTAATGTTTGCCTTTCTGCACATTTCAAACCTTCATTATACGAGTATCTTATATACAGGGAAACTTATACATTAGTAATCTATAGATATACATCCCTCTGTCAGGGTTCTGTAGATAAAACCAGTGAGCGGAGCAGTATAGTCGGACGGGGCCGACCATACGATACCCTACACAACTACCACGAACTCTAACTTTCTGAGGATGTTTATTCCGAGTCTGAGTAATATTTCGTGATATTTGCCCCCTCTTGTCCGATTAGAGGTCAACAACACCTCTTCCTTACTTTTTTCGAATATTCAGTACAGTCCTTCTAATTGCTTGTCCAGATTGCCTTCACGGTGGGTTGTGTAGTGATTTTCGGATTATTCTCGACTCGAAAACACACAAAAAATTTAGTTTTCGGTCCATTTCATCCCAAAATTTTAATCTGATCATCACCGAAAATTGTAGGCGTTGTTCTTGACCATAACTGGAACTTCATGAAAAATTTCAAAGCCATCAGCGCGATATTTCCCCCTCTAATGTGGTAATGGGTTACTAAATAATATCTGAATACGTAAGCACCTATAAATATTTGACTGTAACTCCCACATCTGAGTAGATACATCACTATATTTGGTATCAATTTAAAGGCCAACCACTCCTCTTGGATATGCTATCAACTCCTCGGGTCTACATCCTCCAGGAGTAAATGTATATGCCATAGAATACAAATTTTGTCATTTTTCACACAAAAGTCAGGGTCCATTTGACCCGCTAAATATTGACCGATCTTTATCAAAACATGCATGCTTATTATCTGGCCCGATCCCCTTCTCCATGCAAAAATTCGCAGTGTTTGGGCCATAATTGCGGCCTCTGGAGCGACCAGAAAAACCGACAAAAATAATGTTTTTGGTCCATTTCATCCCCTAAATATTAACCGATCTTTACCAAAAACAATAGGGGTCTTCATTGGCCAGAACCCATCCTACATGCAAAATTTCGTGAAGATTGGTCCATAACTGTGGCCTGTATCGTGTTTACAAATTATAATGGACAGACGGACGGACGGACGGACACACATGTCTAGATCGATTCAGCTAGTCGAGATATGACGATCGGTATACTTAAAGGTATGTCTAGGACCAATATTTCGCGGCGTTACAAACATTTGGGGCTACACAAAGCTATAATACCCTGACAACATAGTTGTGTAGGGTATAATAAATTTTATATTCAAACCCCGTTTTCCATAAGGCCTGTTAATAATACATTATAAGGGTTTTCAATATATGAAACACCTTCAATATATAGAACACCTGCAATCTAACTTACATTCTATAAAAATCGTTTAATCATAGAAGGCCTTAAAGAGTTATTTTATCATTTAATTAAAATCTTTGGAAGTCGAGATTATCTGATACATTTGTCATTCCGATTTATACACATCAAAATATTCACCGGAGACCCAATAAAGTATACATATTCGTGATCAGAAAAAAAAATCAATGTCGATTTATGTGTGTCCGCCCCCCTGTATGTCTGTTGAAATCACGATCGATATATTTAAGGTAGATCAGTGCTGCTCTCCTTGTACCTTTAGATTTTGTCGTGTTCCCAAAGAATTTTGGAAGCAGGATTAAAAGTTGACGTATCTCTTTCCTAATGAATCCTGCTGTCATATGTTTTTTATAGGGTTTACAGATCATATCACATCCACTTAAAGAAGTCACTGGCAGATAGGAAAAAATTGATTTTATACTTCCCCACTTTGATGATGGAAAACATTTACTTTAACTCCCCTAAATAACATGTTAGCAATACTAAATCAATGGAACTATTTACAGGGATAACTAAAGCATAACGTAACCAATACAACATCCTACCATAAACAGAAATAAAACAACAACAACAACAAAAATCAGCTATCAAAGGGAAAGTCATTTATATGTGACAGATGTTTACAGAAATTTAGCACACAACAACAACAACAAAATATAGGCACACACTATCAATGGCTAGATAAATTAATAGTGAAATGTATTTTTGAACACTATATATTATAAAATTTATATACCAAAAAGATATAAAAAAATAGTATTAGTTAAAAAAAAGATATAAAAAAATAGTATTAGTTAAAAAAATTTACTGTTTTGTAAAAAAAGTCAAATTCGCCGAATGTGCCCCAACCCGGGGTAGCTTCGGCATTTGATGGGGCACATTCGGCACCATAGTCATAGCCGGGTAATTGTCATCGCTATCAGTCTGGTTGAAATTCTGAACAAACACTATTAGGTTTTAATACGCCACACAATGTTTGAATTATATGGCTTTATTTTCGAGCGGCGGACGTTTACATCTCAAGGTCGCACACACCATCAGAAATAGGGGTTTTCTATCGCATTTTCGTCAATACAAGCACGTTTGATCTTATATATGCAATTTCGAACCATATTAAAGGATTAGTTTTAAAAACAAACTCAAAAACCTTTTACGGAAATAATATTGCACAATCTGTATATGGCCGAATGTGCCCCACTTTGAAATGCCGAATGTACCCCGAATGTACTTTTTATAGTTTTTTTCATTTTTTTCGATCAGATTTGTAAAAAGATTATATTTTTAAATATTTTTATAATAATACACATCGTAGTTAACCACTTTTTAATAATATTGTCTTAAAAATTTTAAAAGTTTTATACACGAAATACTTACGAAATGGAATTGAAATATTACAGAAACATCTATAAAAATACAAAAACCTATGTATCTAAATAAGCTTATTAGCTAGAAATTTCAAACTTTGTGTCAGTTATTTATTTCAATATTCGATACCTATGTATCGAAACTAGTGATGTACGGTGAGAACTTCATATCGAAAACGCGATTGCCGAAGGTGCCCCGATGCCGAAGGTGCCCCAGTCTCCCCTACATATTTTCTTTTCTAATCCTGAAACCAAGGTCCGAATATCCACAATTTTTATGAAATATTTTTACAAGTGTTACGTTTCTAATAATGTCTCATGCCAATTATTGCATATTAAAATTTAAGTAGGTACTTAAGTAGTTACATAATTAAAGCAATAATAAAAATTTAATATTTTATCAAATTGGCATTTTATTAGAGAATAGTTTGAAGAGTTACTACCAACTTTTGAAAAATCGATTCCCTTTCCTTTTAAGTTTACGTCTCAGTTTGGTAGTAACTCATTGAAATTCATTTGAATTACTATTTTAGTATTTTATTAAAGGCCCTTAAGTCATTTTCTCTTATTACAATTCCTGCACTGCCAAATTTCGGTAAACACGAATTGATATCGAACATTGAAATTCTTTCACACATTTCATCAACGTTCATATACACAACGATAGACATTAATTTTTGTATAGATTTTTAATTAAAATCGATGACATAATATCATTCTAATGAAAACGATAAATATTTATATGATATTGCTAAAGAGGAAACCTATCAATTTTCCAAATCATTTCGATATTAAATGAATATATTTGGGATAGTCACATTAAGATGGGTTGTAAAAAATAATAAAATTAAGCAGAAAGGTTAATATATTTCAATGGACCAAATAGGCAATCATTAAACTATAATTCAATAACTTTATCTTTACCATATATTAAGTTATTGAGATATACTTTAATGAATTATTTGTTGGTAGCCCTGTAGTGCATGAAGAATTACTAAAGGCTATACATTATTTGAAGTCTTGTACATCGAACTAAGTACCATAGCAACTGTAAGGAATTGTGTTTTTTGATGCTGGTATATAATATTCCGGCTGAATTAAGGAGTGGGCTGGTAAGTGAATACCAATACTTGATTTGGTTTTAACATGGCTCATATATATTTGAAGATTTTAAAGAGAAAAAAAAAATATTTTGTTTTTAATTTTTATGAATGAAGACGAGTCCTAATTTTTGATGGCGAGCATTGTAACTCCTCACTGGAACATCGAAATCCGAATATTTCGACAGTGTTAGAAAAATTTTTGAGTTCGTTCAAAAATTAACAAAATAGCGGACCTTTTTTAAAAAAGCGCATATTTTCGGCTAAAACCCAAGCTGGAAAATAGGGAAGATCTTCACTGATTGGATTTATCATAATTCATACGATAGCTATTTGGGTCCAGAATAACGTGTTAAGCAAACAGAGATATATATGCGGAGGTCTACGGAATGACTGTCTAGTTTTCAAAAGTATGACAGCATTTGTGATAGGTAGGAGATGTATTAAAGGTAATGGAACTACATAACCAATAATTGCACCAAATCTATATTTAGTAAAAATATTAAGGTCTGCTATATTCAGACCGCACAGGTTCTATCAGTGGGCCAACGGGTTCAACATCGAACTTTATATAAGTTTTTTAGGTATTAAAATGCTAACATCGGCGTATTTGACTCCAATAAAGCTACGTTTCACTGACACAACGGCATTGTGCACATACACAAATTTTATTTTTTTAATAAAAT